TCCTTTCTTCTCCTATTCTTCATCCAAATGGGCAGCCAAAAGACAGCAATCAAAACCGGCGTACGAATATTCGTGGTTAATGGTTGTACAAACTGAACTCTTTAATGACCATTTCTCTAAAACATGAATTTTCCTCCTTCTCGGTAAATTGTACCTCGAATGTTCGTCGTGCCACAGATTCACACAACCCATTGGGTCTGCCCTTATGGTCTTCTCTTTTATGGTCACCGCATATTTGACTAATGGCTTCTCGCATTGTGAGCGAAATCGGCTTCCGCGCCCGATGTCTCTTCATCGCCTTATACTGGAATGCCTCCCGAAAGTGTCAGTATGATCGGGGATGATCGGTGGATATATCGGATTGTGACTTGTCAACATTGACTCACCTTGAGAAATGCTCCTATATGACCAAGCGTCTCAAACAGCCTGTGCTGAGGAAGCCTCGCTCACTGTCTTCTCGTGGCGGTGTTTCCTCAAAAAATGAGAGGATGAAAAGTCAGCATTCGGGGGCTATAATTGAGTTGGTTAACCATTGGCAGTTCACCCAGGGGAGTTGGCTAAAAATCTTGATTCCAAACCAATCAAGAGGCGTACGAACCAAGTGCACATCTTCCTAGTTGTGGCCGTAGTCACCGGCTTAATTGGACATCAAGGTGTATTGGGCACCTTGGACGTTTGACCCCGTCCAAAGGGTGTATGCTCCAATGAACTGGATACCGGCTTCCAATGAACTGCGGAATCTGAGCTCCGTCCTGTTGTCGTCCAGGTCTGTATTTCTAGACTTCGGATGAGGACCCCGAGGTCGGGGTAACCGGGGAGTAACGTGCCTACGCAGCCTATGAACACATTCTACAGACTGCTTTTCGTTCATCTGTTGTGGCACATTTGCCACACTCAGAGTCATTTGATTGTAAAACCTGCCTTGAGAACGGTTACCCACGGTAACCGAAACGTCGGCGAATATAATTCTCTACCGACATCGCTGTGTTAGTAACACTATAACATTCTCAAGTTCACTTATTTGGTCACCACACGTTGGCTCTCACTTTCTGCGCGGTCACTAATCAACACGCTTCTCCCATTTCAACAGATTATATCAACACAACAGTCGTTGAGGTTCGTGATATCGGATGTTCTCTTTTAGCTTGTTCTTTCGTTCGTTTCTCACCATACGTCTTTCGCGGAGATCGTTGATGGGGAAACTGAACGCCCAAATGTTTCTTATCCATCGGGTTTAACGTAAGGCTATTCGTCTCATTAGCGATATGTCCCTATGTAACTTACAGTTACTAGGCTACCATTTAGCAGTTGCCTTCTTATCCTTTCTCTATCGATACTATTTTCAACTGTTTAACTCGCCATCTCTGTTTTCCTTCGACTTTTTCTTCCTCTTCAGTTCTACATACCCAGGTACTGTATTCTTAACTTTTAGTCACTTTCAAGAACAGGTGAAACACTCTCCCTTTCGGTCTTCCCTCAACCTCACAACGTCCTTATATTTAACGCAGAATCAACAATCCGGTTCCAGCTTGAATATTCCCTTCGCCATTCCATGTACAGTATGTCCTTTGATTATGGGGTTTGGCCCCTTTTCCTATAATCTGTTGTTAAAAATTGTCTCAAAACATGTCTGCAAATTTTAAGTACACCGTGTGGATGAGTTCGTTCAATTATAGTAGAAGCGCGTTTAAATGCTTATCTGTATTAAGCGAACGGCGGAAAAGATCGTGAGCAACAACTTGTGGAATTTTGTGACTAGCATCATCCGCTAGAAATACCGCGTCCGTTGAAACACTGGCAACGGATGCCATTCTGCCTACATCACTGCAGCCTGAACAAAACGAATTGATACCCGACCGGTATTACAAAATGAACCCAAAAACATGACGAAAATAAAATATAATGAATTGCCGTACCACATGGATGATGGCGGAGGTACCTTCAACACGAATCCGACTTCCTTAGAGGAGTTGCATGTACACTATACACATCTCTAACGCGAAGGATTGCTCTTTTACACGCTTTGTCTTAATAAAGATACTTGAGTGTGGAGTAACTGTTTAAAATGAAAGAACTGAGGATAAATTAAGTGTCAACCTTACAACGACCGGCAAATCGATCGACTACAAGGAGACTACCGCCTACGTCCGACATAAAGTGAAAGCATACCTTTAAAAAGGAACATATAAAACAGGGGACAAAAAAGCAACCATGAGAATTATTGGAGCACGATTGAGTGCTGACTAGAAATCGGTTGTATATCCCTATGGAAGTGCTGAAGTCAACCATAGGAAAACGCCTGTGCCAAATGGCATATAAAGAGGCCAAAATGAAGGCAGACTACTAAAAAGACGGAAATTATTGATTCCTACCATGTGCGGGGCACTAATCGTTGCTCCATAACCGATCGATAGAGGTCTGTCTTCATACGCGTCAGATTTTGCAAAGTATCCACGATCCACAGCCATCATTGCATTTTTTACTCTTTCGGACAAAATAACTTTATTTTCTATTAAGGCATAAGAGTAGGTAAGTTACGAGAAAATTACTATGTAAGTTGTTTATAAGTTCTTCATGAGTCCTCCCACTTGATTGCCAAGCCATTCCGCAAAAAATATTGGAACAGAGGAACGATATGACCCCGAATTCAAAATTCCTCTTCCCTGTAGACAATCGATTCAGTGCTTTACGAACGAAATACATGTCAGCGCTGATCTCAAAATGACATTTACCAAAGCCTGAGAAAGAACAATTTTCAAGGTCGGGTCAAATTCAAATTCAAATCACAGGACGTGGAGAGGCCTTCGCCTGTTGGATGTCCTGATAATGGCGGGTTCCGCCTGTGGACCGACTCGCCTGCGAGTGCAAAGCTTCTTCCGATTCTCCACGAGGGAGTAATA